CGCGGCCATTTTGTGGGGATGTCTCGAGCGGTTTGCTTGTTTTCTGTGCCAACATCCTTCGCTTTCGGAGCAGATTTGGAGGATGTCTCGAGCGAGGCGCTCATTTCAGCACCCCTAAGGGGAGCCGCCAGGGGTGGTTGCACGTGCTCGTTCGCGGCCATTTTGTGGGGATGTCTCAGGCGGTTTGCCTGTTTCTGTGCCCAACATCCTTCGCTTTCGGAGCAGATTTGGATGATGTCTCGAGCGAGGCGCTCATTTTCACCCCCCAGGTGGGCCAGATTTTGAGGATGTCTCGATCGGTTTGCTAGTTTTGGTGGCCAGGCTCGTGGGCGCAGATTCTTCTCAGGATGCCACAGGAGGCTCCAACATGCTCCAGGAGGCTCCAGGAGACCACATGAGGTCCCAGGAGGCATCAGGAGGCCACAGAAAGACTCCAGAGGCCACAGGATGTCCCAAAAGGCTCCAGGAGGCCCCAGGAAGCTCCAGAAGGCCTCAGGAAACCACAGGAGACCCCAGGAGACAACAGGAAGCGCCAGGAGGCCTCGGAAGGCAACAGGAGGCCCCGAGAGGCCCCAGGAGCAGGAGGCCTCAGAAGGCAACAGGAGTGGCTCCAATCCCATATGTGTTTTACGTATGCTCCTATCGATTGGGCCTCACCTGGAGCACGATTGTTTGATGTTCTACGTATGTTTCTATAGATGGTCCTTCTCCTGTGTACACAGTCCTAAATGTTTTACTCATGTTCCTATGTATTGGGCCTCTCCTGGGGCACGAGTCCTTGGTGTTTTACGCGGCCTCGGCCAACGCCGCTGCGCCTGCGCAGCCTGAAGATCGACGACATCAGGGCAGGCTTGGACCCGAAACGGGCAAGCGCCTGAGTGAGTGGTTGGGGATCGCCTACGGTGGTCTGGGGCCTTTTCCCATGCTCGGCACGGGGTGGATGGTGGCTCAGGTGGCGCCTCACGCTGACGCGGTGACGCGCACACCACAGCAGCGTGGCGCGGCGGCGCTGCAAAAACCTGAGCCGCTGTTTGCGGAGCCTCCTGGCCGCATTTTGCGGCTCTCGCCTTTTGGCGGCAGGATCGGCTCGTGTCGCACGAGCTGCCTGGTGTGTAAAAAAAACAGTGGCTCTAATCCGCAATGGTTTGTGTACGTCTGTTGCTATAGATTGCGCCTCTCCTTGGGCACGAAACCTTCCTAGGAGGTCCCAGGAGGTCCCAAGAGGCTCCCGGAGACCCCAGGAAGCCCCAGTAGGTTTCAGGAGGCCCCAGGAGGCCCCAGGCTCATGCACAGAGACGCGCTCGTACTACTGAGGCTCATTCACACTCCAATTCATTCGCAGTTAGATTGATGTCCAGACCGTCAAAACTGAAGCCCGTTAATATTCGAAAGCTCTTGCGCCTAGACATTCACGGCGGACAGGTCCATGCGAGTAGATGCACATATGGGGAGCTCCACGCAGTGAATAATTACTTGGACGCCTCCTACTCCTCCTTCTCCCTCCTCCTCTTTTCTCCTCCCCTCCTGTCGGACTTACTCATACTCATACTTGCTCATACACAGACTTACTCATACTCAGACTTACTCATACTCAGACCTACTCATACTCAGACTTACTCACACTCAGGCATACTCATACACAGACTTACTCATACACAGACTTACTCATACACCGATTTGGAGGATGTCTCGAGCGAGGCGCTCATTTCAACACCCCTAAGGGGAGCCGCCAGGGGTGTTTGCACGGGCTCGTTCGCGGCCATTTTGTGGGAATGTCTCAGGCGGTTTGCCTGTTTCTGGGCCCAACATCCTTCGCTTTCGGAGCAGATTTGGAGGATGTCTCGAGCGAGGCGCTCATTTCAGCACCCCTAAAGGGAGCCGCCAGGGGTGGTTGCACGGGCTCGTTCGCGGCCATTTTGTGGGGATGTCTCAGGCGGTTTGCCTGTTTCTGGGCCAACATCCTTCGCTTGGAGAGCAGATTGTGAGGATGTCTCAGGCGGGGCGCTGGTTTCAGCACCCCTGAGGGGAGCCGCCAGGGGTGGTTGCACGGGCTCGTTCGCGGCCATTTTGTGGGGATGTCTCAGGCGGTTTGCCTGTTTCTGGGCCCAACATCCTTCGCTTTCGGAGCAGCTTTGGAGGATGTCTCGAGCGAGGCGCTCATTTCAGCACCCCTAAGGGGAGCCGCCAGGGGTGTTTGCACGGGCTCGTTCGCGGCCATTGTGTGGGGATGTCTCAGGCGGTTTGCTTGTTTCTGGGCCCAACATCCTTCGCTTGGAGAGCAGATTGTGAGGATGTCTCAGGCGGTGCGCTGGTTTCAGCACCCCTAAGGGGAGCCGCCAGGGGTGTTTGCACGGGCTCGTTCGCGGCCATTTTGTGGGGATGTCTAAGGCGGTTTGCTTGTTTCTGGGCTCAACATCCTTCGCTTGGAGAGCAGATTGTGAGGATGTCTCAGGCGGGGCGCTGGTTTCAGCACCCCTAAGGGGAGCCGCCAGGGGTGGTTGCACGGGCTCGTTCGCGGCCATTTTGTGTGGATGTCTCAGGCGGTTTGCTTGTTTCTGGGCTCAACATCCTTCGCTTTCGGAGCAGATTTGGAGGATGTCTCGAGCGAGGCGCTCATTTTCACCCCCCAGGTGGGCCAGATTTTGAGGATGTCTCGATCGGTTTGCTTGTTTTGGTGGCCAGGCTCGTGGGCGCAGATTCTTCTCAGGATGCCACAGGGGGCTCCAACAGGCTCCAGGAGGCCCCAGGAGACCACATGAGGTCCCAGGAGGCATCAGGAGGCCACAGAAAGACTCAAGATGCCACAGGATGTCCCAAGAGGCTCCAGGAGGCCCCAGGAAGCTCCAGAAGGCCTCAGGAAACCACAGGAGGCCCCAGGAGGCAACAGGAAGCGCCAGGAGGCCTCGGAAGGCAACAGGAGGCCCCGAGAGGCCCCAGGAGCAGGAGGCCTCAGAAGGCAACAGGAGTGGCTCCAATCCCATGTGTTTTACGTATGCTCCTATCGATTGGGCCTCACCTGGAGCACGATTCTTTGATGTTCTACGTATGTTTCTATAGATGGTCCTTCTCCTGTGTACACAATCCTAAATGTTTTACTCATGTTCCTATGTATTGGGCCTCTCCTGGGGCACGAGTCCTTGGTGTTTTACGCGTGTTCCTATAGATTGCCCTTCCCCTGTGGCTCTAATCCGCAATGTTTTATGTACGTCTGTTGCTATAGATTGCGCCTCTCCTGGGGCACGAAACCTTCCTAGGAGGTCCCAGGAGGTCCCAAGAGGCTCCTGGAGACCCCAGGAAGCCCCAGTAGGTTTCAGGAGGCCCCAGGAGGCCCCAGGCTCATGCACAGAGACGCGCTCGTACTACTGAGGCTCATTCACACTCCAATTCATTCGCAGTTAGATTGATGTCCAGACCGTCACAACTGAAGCCCGTTAATATTCGAAAGCTCTTGCGCCTAGACATTCACGGCGGACAGCTCCATGCGAGTAGATGCACATATGGGGAGCTCCACGCAGTGAATAATTGGGAGCCCCCATGAGGCCCGTGGAGGCCTCCGGCGGCTCCGAAAGGGCGCCAGAAGGGCATAAGCAACACTTCGAGCCTCGAGCCTCGTCCTCCTCCACCGCTCCTGCTCCGCAGGAGTTCCGGGAGCGGGTGGGCGCCCCCGGCCCCGCCCTCGAGGGCTGCGCCGTGCACTGCGCGGTCCTCGCCACCGGGGCGGCGGTGGCCGCCAACGGCACCGCGATGGCGCAGGACGGAGCGGAGGGGGCTCGCGCGAGGAGGGGGAGGAGGTGCAGGAGGCAGAGCTGGGCTGGGCGAGAGCGGGGCGGACTGGGGGAGGGGTCCTGGGTGTCAGCGAGGGGCGGGACAGGGGGGCGGGGCGTCTCACAGGGGGGGGGAAGAAGGAGGGTGGCGCAGGAGGCAGAGGAGAAGGGCTGGGATAGAGAGCCGGGCGGACAAAAAGGGGGGTGCTGGGGAGTGTCTGGGCGTCAGCGAGATCGGGGGGACAGGGGGAGGGGGTCCCAGAGGCAGATGAGAGGAGGGAGACGGCAGCTGTGGGGAGGGAGGGCCTCGCGCTGGACGACACCCTCTGCGGAGTGGCCGGCGTTGATCGGCCCGGGGACAAGCCCACGCTGGCGCCAGTGCCCGCGGGCTCGCCCGCCCCGCCGCCCCAGCCCTCCGGCAAGCCGACGAAGCCCGGCTCCGAGGTCGTCGTCGTGCTGCAGCGGGTCGGGGTGACGCTTGCGGCCTCCGGCGGCTTCGTGGTCTACAGCCCGGCGGAGGGGGTGATGATGGCGGTGCGCCCCAGGTACCTGTTCGACGAGCTGGACCGTCCACGTCGTCCGTCGCCCTCCTCCCGCCCTCCTCATGCTGCCCTCCTCCTGGGGCCTCCTCCCTGCCTCCTGCTCTCGCCTCGCTCGCCTCGCTCCCTCCTCCGTCCTCCCCCCTCCCGTCTGTTCCCTCATCCCTCCTGCTCGCCATCATATTCCTTCCGCCCTCCCTCCTCACATTTCTCCTCCTGTCCCACCCTCCCCGTTCATACCCCCCCCTCCTCCCTCAGAAGCCTCCGGGCAGGCGCGAAGCCTGCCATCGGGCACGCGTCAGAGCACTTACTGTTTGCAGTTCGCACTGACTTCGAAAGAGGTCCCAGGGGCCTCTGGAGGTCTGGGGGGACCTCCACAGAGGCCGCCAGGGGAAAGGGGCACAGACTCCCATAACTTAAGCCCAGATCATTGGTTATTATGTTATTGTTATTATTGTTATCCTCCTCCTCCTCCTCCTCATCATCATCATCATCATCATAAGCAGCAGCAGCAGCAGCAGCAGCAGAAGCATCAGCAGCAGCAGCATCATCATCACCATCATCACCATCACAAACCACATCATCATCACCATCATCATCATCATCATCATCATCATCATCATCATCACCACCATCGGCAGCCTAGTCATGATAAGTATCATCACAGTCATCCACAGCTTCATCATAATACCCATCATCATCATCATCATCATCATCATCCTTATCATCGTCATCAGCATCATCGTCGTCATTATCATTGCCATCGTCATATCACCAGATCTACTGAGCCTCTACGCCCCCCAGTCTCTGGGCGGACCGCCGTCGCCGAATCGTTTTTTTAAAGAAGTGCACCTGGTGTTCGGGGCCGCCGCCGCTGCCGCGAGTTTGCATTGGGGTCTCCGGCCGAGCTCGCTTGCCGCCGACATGCGAGAGGGGCATCGGTTGTTTGTATACTTAATTGCCTTCAGCCTACCCCACCACCGCGCCTGGGTCGCGGGCCAGAGGCCTCTTCGCAGTTGCGCGCTTGCTCTCTTCGTTTGGGGGGTTCGGGCCCGGGGCGGGTCGAAGCAGAATTGTAGTGTTCAATTCGTCGCGGTTGCGCGGTTGTTCCCTCTGTGTGGGGGGTTCGGGCTTGAGGGGGGTTTTAAGCAGAACTCTTCTGTGTAATTTGTCGCGGTTGCGCGGTTGCTTATATTTGCGTAGAGAGTTCGGACCCAGAGGGGTCAAAGACGGCGAAGCGGGATATTCCCGAAAAGATTCCGGAAAAATGTTTGGTTGCGTTTCGGGTGCGCGCTCGTGGGTTGAAGGTTTCGTTTGGTTTTGGACGCGACTGCGGGCGTTTTCGGATCAGATAACGGAGGAACATATTGAATTGGATTGCGGCATCGGATTCAGGCTCGTACTTCGCGGCCCGACGGCATTCAAGTCAGAAGCAGTTGTTACAATAATGCATGCGCGCAGAGTCCGTCGCCGCCGTTTTTACATTGTCACCTTGGCCTGTGCGCGCGGCCGCCGCCAGTTTTTTGTAACACGTACTTGGTGTCCAGGGCGTTGCCCGCCAGATTTTGGGACCCCCCCGCATCGTGCTTTTTGTTTTTTCGTCGCCGCCGTGGGAATCCTCGCAAATACTTGTCCTAGAGTGTCGACCGGGTGATATCGTCATCAACATCATCATTACCATCATCACCACCATCACCATCACCATCGGCATCATCATCATCATCACCATCATCAGCAGAAGCATCATTCTGGTCCTCAGCGTCAGCGTCATCATCATCAGCATCAGCAGTATCGTCATCGTCACCATCATCATCATCATCATCATCATCATCATCATCATCAGCAGCATTACCGTGATCATCACCATTTCCGTCTTCATCATCATCAGTTTCACGTAATTATCACCCTCAGCATCATCACCATCATGACCATCGTCATCGCCGTCGTCATCATCATCACCATTATCAGCATCATCACCAGCATCATCATCATCAGCAGCATAATCATCAGCAACAGCATCACCAGCATCAGCAGAAGCATCAGCAGCATCATCATCAGCACAAACCACATCATCATGACCATCAGCCGCATACTATTAATACTATTGTTGGTAATAACTTTCATCATCAGAACAAGCAGCATCATCATCTTCATCATAATGCCCATCATAACCATCATCGTCATCATCATCATCATCAGCATCGCCATCATCATCATCATCATCATCATCATCATCACCACCATCAGCATCACCACCACCGCCATCACCATCACTATCAGCATCAGCAGCATCACCAGCAGCAACATCAGCAGCATTATCAGCGTCAGCGTCATCATCACCGTCGTCATCGTCATAATCGTTATGATCATCATCATCATCATCATCAGCAGCAGCTTCATCTTCATCTTCATCTTCATCATCCGCAATCATCATCAGCAGCAGCATTACGAGCACCATCGCCATTATCATCGTCATCATCAGTTCCATCATCATCAACATCATCATCCTTCTTATCATCACCATCATCAGTATCATCAGTATCGTCATCATCATCGCCGACGTCCTCGCTGTCATCAGCATCCTCATCATCATCATCATCATCATCATCATCATCAGCAGAATCATCAGCATCATCATCATCAGCATCAGCATCAGCTCCGTCCTCATCATCATCAGTACCAGCAGAAGCACCAGCAGCAGCAACATCATCATTATCACAAACCACAGCATCATCACCATCAGCAGCATAATGTAATAACATCCGCCGCTCTGCGGTTGATCGGGAGTTTCTGTATATATAGAAGAAGGGGCGCGCGCTTCTGGGCGAGAGGGAAACGACCGAGAGAAGAAGGGGCGGCCGCCCCACAGGACCTCTCCATGGTGCCGGAAGCCCATCAGGGCTCCCTCAGGGCCCCTCCCCCAGGGCCGGGGCTCCCTCGCCTGCCCCCTCCCCCTCCTCCTCCTCCTCCTCCTCCTCCTCCTCCTCCTCCTCCTCCTCCTCCTCCTCCTTCGCCCCCGTCGGCATATCCAGGCGTGTTATGCAGTCAGGTCGTCCGTCCGGAAACGGTGCCGGAGGCCGCTCTGGGCTCCTCTGGGCATCCCCCCCGGGGCCCGTTTTGTGAGGATGTCTCAGGCGAGGGCGCCGGTTTGGGATTCGTCACCGGATCCAGCGGATCCAGCGGATCCGTCCGGGAAACGGTGCCGGAGGCCGCTCTGGGCTCCTCTGGGCATCCCCCCCGGGGCCCGTTTTGTGAGGATGTCTCAGGCGAGGGCGCCGGTTTGGGATTCGTCACCGGATCCAGCGGATCCAGCGGATCCGTCCGGAAACGGTGCCGGAGGCCGCTCTGGGCTCCTCTGGGCATCCCCCCCGGGGCCCGTTTTGTGAGGATGTCTCAGGCGAGGGCGCCGGTTTGGGATTCGTCACCGGATCCAGCGGATCCAGCGGATCCGTCCGGAAACGGTGCCGGAGGCCGCTCTGGGCTCCTCTGGGCATCCCCCCCGGGGCCCGTTTTGTGAGGATGTCTCAGGCGAGGGCGCCGGTTTGGGATTCGTCACCGGATCCAGCGGATCCAGCGGATCCAGCGGATCCGGGAAACGGTGCCGGAGGCCGCTCTGGGCTCCTCTGGGCATCCCCCCCGGGGCCCGTTTTGTGAGGATGTCTCAGGCGAGGGCGCCGGTTTGGGATTCGTCACCGGATCCAGCGGATCCAGCGGATCCGTCCGGAAACGGTGCCGGAGGCCGCTCTGGGCTCCTCTGGGCATCCCCCCCGGGGCCCGTTTTGTGAGGATGTCTCAGGCGAGGGCGCCGGTTTGGGATTCGTCACCGGATCCAGCGGATCCAGCGGATCCAGCGGATCCGTCCGGAAACGGTGCCGGAGGCCGCTCTGGGCTCCTCTGGGCATCCCCCCCGGGGCCCGTTTTGTGAGGATGTCTCAGGCGAGGGCGCCGGTTTGGGATTCGTCACCGGATCCAGCGGATCCAGCGGATCCAGCGGATCCGTTCGGAAACGGTGCCGGAGGCCGCTCTGGGCTCCTCTGGGCATCCCCCCCGGGGCCCGTTTTGTGAGGATGTCTCAGGCGAGGGCGCCGGTTTGGGATTCGTCACCGGATCCAGCGGATCCAGCGGATCCGCGGATCCGTCCGGAAACGGTGCCGGAGGCCGCTCTGGGCTCCTCTGGGCATCCCCCCCGGGGCCCGTTTTGTGAGGATGTCTCAGGCGAGGGCGCCGGTTTGGGATTCGTCACCGGATCCAGCGGATCCAGCGGATCCGTCCGGAAACGGTGCCGGAGGCCGCTCTGGGCTCCTCTGGGCATCCCCCCCGGGGCCCGTTTTGTGAGGATGTCTCAGGCGAGGGCGCCGGTTTGGGATTCGTCACCGGATCCAGCGGATCCAGCGGATCCGTCCGGAAACGGTGCCGGAGGCCGCTCTGGGCTCGTGCTCTTCGCGCCGGGGGTGAGGATGACGTGAGTTCCACAGAAACTCCTTCAAATTAGTTCTGAAATGTATTCCCATAATCAGAATCAGCTTCCTCGTCATCATCATCAGCATACCCATCATTCTTATCATCATCATCATCATCATCATCATCATCATCATCATCATCATCATCATCATCATCATCAGCATCGTCATCATCGCAAACATCATCCGCATCATAGTCAGCATCCGCATCATCATCACCACCATCACATTCACCGTCAGCATCATCATCACCATCATCACCATCAGCAGCATCATCATCATCCTCAGCGTCAGCATCACCATCATCATCATCATCATCATCATCATCATCATCATCAGTATTATCATCGTCACCACCTCTGCAATCAGCAGCAGTACGATTACCGTCACCATTATCATCGTCCTCATCATCAGTTTCATCATCACCATCATCCTCACCATCATCACCATAACAATCAGCATAGTCATCGTCGTCGTCGTCGTCATCGTCATCGGCATCATCATCATCCTCGTCAACATCACCAGCATGATCATCAGCAGCAGCATCAGCAGCAGCATGATCATCATCAGCATCAGCAGAAGCATCAGCAGCAGCATCATCATTATCACAAGCCACCCCGTCATCACATTCAGCATCATAATAATACTTTTTACGATAATCATCATCATAATCATCAGCAACAGCATCATCAGATTACCCGTTATCATCAGCATCAACATCGTCATCATCATCGTCATCATCATCGCCATCATGGTCATCATCATCATCATCACCATCATCATGACCATCACCATCACCATCACTATCAGTACCACCATCATCATCAACAGCAGCATCATCCTCATCCTGAGCGTTAGCGTCATCATCATCATCGTCGTCATCATCATCATCAGCATCAACATCACCATCACCATCGTCAGCATCATCGTCACCATGATCATCCTCCGCAGCATCACCACGACTATCACCGTCCTCCTCATCATCATCCTCACCATCATCACCATCATGATCATCAGCATCATCGTCATCGTCATCGTCATCGCCAACATCAGCATAATCATCATAATCATCACCAGCATCCTCAGCATCATCATCATCAGCGTCATCATCATCGTCATCGTCATCGTCGTCGTCGTAGTCGCTGCGCTGCTCCGCAGGAGTTCAGGGAGCGGGTCGGCGCCCCCGGCCCCGCCCTCGAGGGCTGCGCCGTGCGCTGCGCGGTCCTCGCCACTGGGGCGGCGGCGGCCGCGGGCGGCGCCCTGGCCCCGCAGGAGGGGGCGGGGCGTGCTCCGCGGGGAGGGGGGCCTCCCTTCCCGTTGCCTCCCCCCTCCTCCCTTCTCTTCTGAGGGCTCTCCTCAATGGACTCTCTCTCGTTCTCTCGCTCGCTCTCTCTCTCTCTCTCTCTCTCCTTCTCGTTTCGCGCGGATGAGCTCGTGCAGGGCGACAGGCGGTGGCAGCAGGAGCAGTCGGTGTGAAGAGGTTGGCAGCTGCAGCGGTCTGCCGATGCCCACTGGCAGAGCTGCGGAGCCGGAGCGCAGCCCCATCGAGCACACTGTCGGGACCCGCCGTCGGGGATAGCTCAGCTGGGAAAGAAGGAAGTGGAAGCCTTGCCAGTGTGAGAAGGGGGACAAAGGCAACAGTTTTTGTTTGATTCGCGGGTCGAGAGCGCACGTCTTCCGGTCGAAGCTAAGCGGGCCGCGCGAAGCCTGAATTAACAGAGAGGGGGGGAAAGAAGGAGAGGCCTCACGGCAAGGCCAGCAGGAGGCAAAGCCTCGGGATCAGGCGGTGCCGAAGACGACGTGCTTGCAAAGGAACGCCCGGGACAAAGGAAACAGGCGAGAAACAAAGAATCGACTAGTTCCTAGCTGCAACGTTGGGAGTAGTTCTGGCGAGAATGCAGGCACTGAACGCAATATCAGCAACAATGCTTCATGCGAGAGGGGAAGCAGCGAGCGAAAGAGCAGCTACAACGCTGGGAGTAGTGCGTGTGATGAGGGAGGCATTGGCGGTGCAAAGAGTTACTGGGAGAAGACGGAGCGAGCCGATCATCTGCCACATAGCGGAGAACGCACTCAATACCAGCGGTGGTTTCCAGTGTCAGAAGACAGGCAGATACGGGCTCAGCTCGTGCAAGACAGCAGCCAGAAGCAGTCGATAACATCACTGCGAGAAAGACTGGGGTCAGCTGGTGCGAAAAAAGTAGACAGCGGCAGCCGATGCTGTCAGTGCGAGACAGCGGGCAGTGGCAGCAGGCACTGTCAGCGCGAGGAGGCAGGGAGCAGCGGCAGCCGCAGCAGCAGCAGGTGTCACTGCGAGACGGCAGGCAGTGGCACCGGCTCTTGGCGGTGCCCGACGCAACGCATGAGCGCAGCATCATCAGCTTCAAGCTCGGGCCAGCTCGGGCGAGATAGCAGACAGCGCGATAACAACGATCGTTAGACCATCATCTCAGCTAGGATGCAGGGGTTCGCTCATGCGTGAGGCGCAGGAAAGCCATGCATCATCAGCTACAGCGACGGCGGGGACCTCCACAGCCGCAATGCTGGGATCACCGCGTGGGCGATGCGGCAGCACGGGCGCGAAATGGCAGGGGGCGGCGCCTTGTGGGCTGGCCGGCGCGAAGAGCTGTGGCACACGCCATCTCGGCACTGGAATCAGCAAGACCAAAGGTTTCAGCCGTGTTGCCGAATCGCCCAGAAGCGGCCTGGGGTAGGTGGTGCGTCCATGCTTGAGCTCGAATTCGCGCGCTGGCTCCTGACCTGTTGCAGTGCTACATCCATGCTAGATCCCTCATTATTCCCTTCTCCTCTTCCTTCTCCCCCTGTTTCTGCTCCTCCTCCTCCGCCTCTTCCTCCTTCTCCCACATACCTTACCGTTATGGATAACTCCTCCCTGCCGCACCCAAGACGTGTTGGTGCGGCGGGCTGGGCGTTTCGCCGGAGACTGCCTCGCCCTGTACGATCTTGAAGCTTAAGATTGGCAGCATTTCCAAGGATGGAGGGCGGCTCTGTTTCTGAATGCGGCTCTCTTCTTGACGCCGTCCGCATCCGCTTTAAGTTTGCAGCTGCTCCAAGGATGGACGACGGCTCGTTTTTAAAATGTGCCTCTCGCCTTAGCGCCGCTCTCATTCGTTCCAGAATGTTGTACAAATTCAAGGATGGCGAGCGGGTGGTTCTCAAAATGTGGCTCTCACTTCTGCGCCGCGCACATTCGCTTCAAAAGTGTGCAACAGCTTCAAGGATGAAATGCTGCTTTCCCCACATCCGAAGTGGGGTTGTTGTTTTCTTTGGACGCCCTCCGCGCAGGAACCTCCCTCCCACTCTCCGCCTCACTCACGCATTCACCCCGCCATCGGTCATCATCACCATCGGTCATCATCATCACCACCATCATATTCAGTCACTCACCATCGATCACCATCACCATCGGCCATCGATCGTCATCATCATCAGCATCACCACCTCCGCCATCATCATCATCATCATCATCATCATCATACTCAGTCGCACATCACACACACATACACTCTCTCTCTCATCACTTAGCATCATTTTCTTTGGACACCCCGCGCAGGAACATACTCAGTCGCACATCACACACTCTCTCTCTCGCTCTCTCTCTCTCTCTCTCTCTCTCTCTTTCTCTCACTCTCTCTCTCTCTCTATTTTTTGTTTTTTCTTTCTTTCTCTCTCTCTCTCTCTCTCTATATATATATATATCATCACTCAGCATCATCAAGCGGGGGCCTCGTCTGTGAGTGAAGTGTGAGGAAGTCTCAGGCGGGAGCCCCCTTCTTGTGGGGCCCGCACTTCATGTTGGTAATCCGAGCGGGTCATCCTCGAACCGATCACTGTCGCCATGTTTGGGCTCCTGAGGCTTGAATATGGGGGACGTATCAGGCGGGAGCCTCGTCTGTGAGTGAATTGTGAGGAAGTCTCAGGCGGGAGCCCCCTCCCTATGGGGCCCGCACTTCCATGTATCCGAGCGGGTCGTCCTCGAACATGTAACTGTCGTCATTTTTATGCTCCTGAAGGCTTGAATTTAGGGGAAATATCAGGCGGGAGCCTCGTCTGTGAGTGAACTGTGAGGACGTCTCAGGCGGGAGCCCCCTCCCCATGGGGCCCGCACCTCTCATGCTTCCTCCTGGTCGTCCCCCGGCGCGCGCCTCCTGTGGGTCGTCCTCCGGCGCGCATCCGCCGGAGGACGCGCGTCGTGTGCTTTCTTTGGATCGTGTTCCGCACGAGGAGGAGGAGGAAGGAAGAGTAAGGAGGATGCAGGACGAGAAGGAGAAGCAGGAGGAGAAGGAGGAAGCAGAGGGCGAGAAGGACGAGGAGGACATGGAGGAAGAGGAGTGCCCTAGGATGCCCCAGGATGCCCCAGGAGGCACCAATAGTCCCCAGGAGGAGGCAGGAAGCCTAAGGAGGAGGCAGGAGGAGGGGGAGGCGGAGAAGGAGGGGGGGGAAAATGGAGACGAGGAGGAGGAGGAGGCGGAGGAGGGAGAGGGAGAAGAGGAAGATGGAGAGGAGGCATAACGAGGAGGAGGAAAAGGAGGAGGAGGAGGAAGAGGAGGAGGTGGTGGTGGAGGCTCCAGGAGAAGGCAGGGGTTGAGGCAGGAGCAAAAGGAGGAGGCAGGAGGAAAAGGAGGAGGCAGGAGTAGGTGGGAGAAGCGAGGGGGGCAGGAGGAGATCCCCAGGCAAGCTAAACACATTATCATGTGGGGTCCTACTGTCGAAGTAATCGCGTACGCGTTGCGCGCGGTTGTCTTCAAAGTTTGCAACGGCTTCTTGGATGAAATGCGATTCCTTTTCTAAATGCGATTCTCGCCTCAGTGCCACGCGCATTCGTTTCAAAAGTTTGCAAAAGTTTGCATGGTTCGTGGGGTTGAAGTCCCAGGAACGGTATCCTGGCACGGTGTAGCGATGTAGGATTTCCAGGACGCAACAGTCACGTAGATAAGCGGCGTTGAAGTCCCAGGAAAGGCGTCCTGGCACGATTGAATATTATCAAGCGATGTGTTTTTCAATGGGGCACTCCGGATACTGGCAATACATGCTCGTAGAAGCATATGAACAGGGATTGCGGAGGGAGGGTTTAGCACAACGTGGTTGGATCGATTGGGGTTTACAGTGGTATTCTTCCTCCTCCTCCTCCTCCTCCTCCTCCTCCTCCTCCTCCTCCTCCTCCAGCCGCCCTGGCACAGGTCCCCTCACACACCCTGCGCGGCCTCAGGGATGTGTGTTTTCCCCTACCCAGCGCCTACCTTCCCTTCCATCTAGGCACTCCCCGTCGCGGCGCGCGGCCCGCAGCCATGCATGCACCTCTCTTCTTCATTGTGTTCATTGTCGCGTCCCTTGTGCAGAGCGGTAGAGCAGTGGAAATCTCTGAAGCATATCAGACCAAAGATTTGTCCCACTCACGGGCACTCGGCTACGACGGCGCCACACAGGTGGGCAGTGTGACAAGCATGCGCACATTCTGAATTGGGGATACGGAAAGGGGGCCTCAACCTCGACGAAAGCTCTTTCGTCTTTGCCATATTGTACAGATTCATCCACCGCCCGCTGGCCTTCAAGGACGACTTGGAGCGATGGAAATACGATCAGGCCGCTTCCATATGCTGCTGTGCGTTGCCTATTTCCCATATCGGCCGAAGGTGGCAAAGGAAAAGCTCACGTATAAGAAGATGGTGATGCAGCCTAATTGGTGTTCGCTTGTCTTGGATGGGGATATTAACGGCTATGTGGGAGTACATGCACCCAATGCTGGGCAACAGAAGCATCATTGTACGACGCTGGTGAGAGATATTATGGAGAAATACAGCATGCGTCGTGACCCGAGGGACCCCCTGAAGGCCCACCAGCACCAGTCTGGGCTTGAGAAGAGCTCAATGAAAATGGGTTTCGCTGTGGACTTGATTTTCAGGATCGCATGGCTAGCTAACACCTTCATAGGCGGCCAGGACACCTTTCATGGGCGAGCTTCGAGTTCTCGCATTGTTTATCTAGGCGGTCCGCAAGCATGTATAACAATCTCAATGGATTCGTATAGTTTGAACAAGCGAGGTCGACAACTTCAAGTGCGCGCCAGATATTTTATTGTTGCTCTTCGGAGAGGGCGTACGCCCTGTATTCAGTGGAACCATGATACGGTAGTTCGAGGTGTGGTTGATGGGCTTTGGTGGGAACGATTTCTTAAAGAAGTGGAGGATTACTGCCACCAGTCTTTCCTGCGATGGAAACAGTATGAAGTATCGGTTACACCCGATGAGGCT